GGGTGCGGTGAAAAGCGATTACAAGTGGCTGAGAGATAGAATCAGTGCCTAATCCTCGTTAATCGATTCAGAACGATTTTTAAATGTTTTTTTTTTTTTTTTGATAAAATAAATAAAATTTTCGTATGGAACTAAAGAGCCGCATGTCGCTCGCGAGCCGCAGGTTGCCGACCCCTGGGCTAAGCTGAATTTCACGTGGTATAATAACGAGCTAAAAATCTCATTGGAAAAAATGGGAAATCTAATTCACTGAATATTATATGAGACTAATTAACTGATTATTTCTAAAGAAATAATAACGAATTTTTTTTACTTTAGTTAATATCATAAAAGATTTTTTTAAAAATTAAGTTTTCATTTTATAATTACTGTATTATGATTCTCTTTTTTATAACTATTATTCCTGTAATGAAAATTTTCTTGCTTATTAGAAAATATCTTAGCATTTTATATCTGATGATTTTATTTTAAAATATAGTTTTATCTTCAAATATGAAGAACGAAAATATACATAACGTTAAAGAAAAATACACAATTATAATTTCCAAACTATGCAAACTTTACGTAAACGTATCATAAATTAACCTAATTTGAATATTCATAGATTGCGAATGATTTTGATTTACTCTCATCCTAATATAGCTTGCTACTTTAATATTTTGATATCAATATAATACAATTTATGAACTATGATCAGTCTGCTTGTAAAATAAAACTTTTATAATTATTTGTTATATAAAAGATTACCGCATTATGTAGAATAAAGAAAAACTTCTTCAATATCATTTTCTAGTTATATAAGCTTTATCTGACGGGAGATTAAAACTATCAAGGTAAAAATGTGATCATCAGATCAAAATCTTATGCCAAGGATATCTGTCTGGATGATGGTAGACATCCTTGACCGTCTTTCTTGTCTACAATATTTGTTGAGATAATTGAGAAGAAAGCTATATTTAACTAATGCAAATATTTTTCTGAATGGCACTGACTATTTGAAATTAAATAAATAGATTTACGTGTAGAAGAAATGTATTGATAATGAATGTAAATAACGACCAATATTATCAGTCACTACTACTAATTAGTTACGCCAGTACTTGGCGTTAGAGCCATTATATAATTATAGAGAAATAGCAACACGTATTAGACGTCATATTCGCTGAATTGTTTTTAAACATTTAATTTAAATAAATAAAAAAATCTGGTTTTAATTTAAAAAAGCAGAGATGTATAAGAATTTCAGAAATCAAATCGGGATATGTGTTTTTAATAAGCTAGTTATACCGAAACAGGAGGTGGAGCTGTAGCTGATAAATACAGGCTCTCTCTCATGAAAATTTATTCAAGAAATATAGATGGGCATACATGTCTCGTAATGTACTAACAATTTGTCAGTACATTATTACCGATTTTGATTTGGTAGCGTAAAAAGAATAATTAATTTCTTCTAAAATATTTTATTTTCGAGAATCTAATAACGAAAAATTGATATTTTTATTACAGTATGATATCAAAGTTAATAGGTTGGTGTAGATTTCCTAATCAAACCAGGAATATTTTTCAGAATAACTTATTAAGTTCTGATCACTCGCAATTTTATCATAAAACTAATCACACTATATGCATAATTTTGCTTTATAATTAGCATTCATTTCACGGTTTAAATATTTAATTTTTATTTCTCTTATGAACACAGATAATTAACGAATAAAAATATTTTTTCTATAGAAGTTGTAATTTCCGAAAAACAAAGGACTAGTTTTATCAAATTATTAAAATCTTGGAATCCAAGATCTTCTATCCCATCAAAATATTTTGCGCACATATTTTACATCCTTAAAACAAATATTTTGGCCGTTTCTGTCAGTTACATTAATTTTTTTCCTTATTCAATTTCTTAACATCAACGTTATTAGCGCCGATTGACCGAATTGTCGAATTTAATGTTTCCGTTCGTGAAATACGTTCTTTAAATTCGATGGAACTATTCTATGAGCTATATTTCATGCCGTTTCTTCCTCTGTCGTACGATTCTTGCAGGGATAGTTAACCAATAATGCGTCTTTTGGAGCAAAAATTAATATAAGACTCGATCTTATTTTCGGGGAAACACGGTATACAAAAATATTTTACAATACATTTAAAGTTATTAATTTAATAGTAAACATAAAACTCTATTACATATAATGTATCTGTTCAGTGTTATAAGTTTTACGCTACTTTTACACATTAGGAATACGGTATATATAAAATGTAGTGTTTTCTACGAAAAATGTAATACTTTTAATAAGTTTTAAAGTAAAAATTTATTTATTATTTATATTATTAAATATATAAAATATATATGGCTAATAAAGGCGTTTTATCATTATTTCTAAATCTTCATTTATGAAAGATGAGATGAAAAAGTATTATTGATATTTAACCATGATTATAAATTTTTATATTAACAAAAAATGAAAAAAATTACAAATAAAAACTTTAATTAATAAATCATTTAGATTATTAAATAAGTTCTTTCTTTGATGATGATAACAAATTTTTCTCAAAATGAAAGAGAGAACTTACCTATTAATGGAAGGATAAAAAGCACGTAAAGTGCCTGCCACTTCCTCATCTTGATTCAAGAGGAATGACACTGGATGATATTTGACTAGCAGTAACAGTTCTCTAACATGCACAGGATATCATGCCACACCAGACTGACAACGTTCTAGCTCTGGATCAGAGCTAACTTCCATGTCTGTTAATATTTAACAGCCAATAGGGTAATATAAACTTAACCTCTGATCTACACTCATCAATCGCTAAAACTAATTGTTTAGCTCTTATGCTTTTCTGAACTATTTGATTCTAAATGATGATGATGATTCACCAGAGATATTTTAATGTGATTTCCTACAATTTTTAAGTTAAACTAAATCCAATTAATTTTTATTACAATATATGAGATTCAAGCTTTTCATTTTTGAAAACCACCAACTCATACCGCATCGTCATAAACATTTAAAATCTACCTAACGGTAATGATGATTCTATACGTAGGATTCTTATATTCTTATCATGCCTAAAGGTTTACAACGTCATTGGAAATACTTTATTTAACTTTTCACAGCATGTTTTGGCCTTTTTTTTTTTGCACAAATTTATGCCTTCAGTTCACAACACATGTATGCATGCCGATCTCACAATATGTGCAATACTGTGAAGTGCATCAGTTAAATATTTAATGTCTTTCTGTTCATCTGAAAGTGTAAATTAGTGTTAAAAAGGGCCAAAATATGTTATGAAAAATTAAATAAAGGATTTACGGTGACGTTGTGAATCTAGGCCTGATAGGCATATTGATATAATAATCCTACTTATAGTATCTTTTCCGTTCGCTTATTTGGAACTTATCGTCCAAATTTCTGAAGAATCTCCGAAAAAATATATCGCTGTCAGAATGGCTTTAGTTTTGGATTCGTGTCATAATGTCTTTATTTACTATAAACTAGTAATATGTAGCTTTTGGGTTTATTATATTCAAGGAATGCAAGAGCATTCCTTGCATATAATAAACCCAAAAGCTACATATTACTAAAGATTATCCGTTACTACCACCACTGTTGGCAATCTGGGCTTTTTAGTTCAGAATTTCCTTTTTTTTAAACAAATAATGGACGTTTTACGTTTATAATCAGCAAATAAACCATCTCTGTTCGATTCATAGTTAGAAATATGAACACGATATTGCTTCTTTTTTTTACGATTGGAATTTTAGTCGAAAATTATATTTATGTTAATGATTATATATCTAAATCTTTATTGTAAACAAATTAAATAGAAAAGATCTAAATATAATGTTATTAGTTTAAATTTATTGTTACGACAAACACTTCAAAATTATCTGGATCAATATAATATTTATTGATGATAACTTCTTGTTCAAATAAGATAAATTTCTGTTTATAAAAAATTTTCTTATCTGAGTTTAGAATGTCGATGGATGCGTTACGAAGTTTGATTAAATAATAGTTTAAACTTTGATATTTATTACTATAAATTCTATTTAACTTGAAACACAAATAATAAATTTTGTATTAAATAAAATGCTTAAAAAAATAAAATAAAAAAACCTTGTTATGACGTTAGAATGCATAAAATACTCCATTGGTTTTTATTTCTTATAAAGTTGAAAGCAGAAATTTGAACATTAGCTAAAAAATCAGACAAATTAACTGAATATTTCCACTTATCAAAATTAATTGATTAAATAATTTAATTATTACTCTGAAAATTTTCTCTAAGATGAAAAATAGCTTAAATCTTCAACTTTATTTCATGGTTTCAATTAAAATTTTAAAAACTACTATGGTAACAAAACAAGTTTGTTAATTAATTATAATAATAATTATTATTATTATTTGACTATTGTTCTTATTAAGATTAGAAATTATCCAAGATATAAAGTAAAAAATAAAAAAATATGAAATTATTGTTGCAAATTAATAAAAATCTATTTTATAATCTTACTAAATAGAGACCTGAGATCTGTGAGAACAAGTACAAAAGTCAAAGTTTGATGTTTGTTGATCAAACTATGCTGCTTTATTCATTTTTAAATAAAGACAACTTTTGAAGATAGTTTTCTGAAGATGCTTCTTTATATTCTGAAATTACATTTGATAAAAGTGTTAAATATTCTTATTGATGTATGATTAAATTTTATATTTTTATATCTGTTTTTTAAATTTAATTAATTACATTAAGTTATTGTCTCAAGATTGAAAAATTTAAAGATTTTTAATAATAAATATATAGCAATTATTTTGTTCAATTCATATAACTATTTTTAAAAAGTTTAAATATTTTAATTTAATCTTTTTTAAATACAAAATTTATAAAGTTAAAAATTTTTTAAATTTGAAGTAAAAAACATTATTTGGAAATTTTATGCTTCTTTTCCTTCAATATATTTAAATAATGGTGATGTAAAGAGTACATCCTTATATAACATCATGGAAGTATCTTGTATATGCTTATGAACAATATGAGTATGTTCTAAATAGCACTTTTCATAATGATGCAATACAATTTGATCAGAATATAAAATTTCTCTATCATTATTTTTTATTTTGTTTTTTCTCCAAATAGAAAGAGCTGGTTTTTTATATAAAGTTTTAGTAGAAACATTCTTTGCTAATCGTTTGGTATACTTTAAAGTTAGAAATGGAAATTTTAATGTTTCAGCTACTATATCTGGGTATTCAGTACAGAACTGATAAACATTGAATTTATATTGCATTGTATTTTCTAAAATTTTTGTTAAGTTTTGATACTTTGGCACAAAGAATTCATTTAAAGTTGTAATCATCACATTATTAGTATTATACACAAGAAGTGATCTAGCAAAGCAATCTAGATGGTATATATCTTTATCCAATGCTCCTCCTGGATAGTTCCACTTGAGAATATCAACTTTGTATTTATTGATTTTTGCATATTCTAGTAGTTTCCTACTTTTGGGAGATATTCCCTCATCATAAATAATGAAATGACTTTTTCTTATGTTGTTATGAAATGTCAAATATTCAGTTAACAAAATGACATCTTGAAAGCCACTGGAAAGAGGTTCTATACAAAATACAAATGTTGCATTTTCAGTATGTCTTGAGATATTTATGAGACTTGAATTTACAGATTTGAATGATAATGTCACTCCATAAGGCACTTTATTTATATTTGAAGGTATACATTTAACAAAAAATCCTGAGTATTTATTAGATTGCTCTTCTAATTTCACTGTACCTAATAATGGTGTAGGGTAATCATCATACCATAAAAAACATTCCATATCTGATAACTGTGTAGACATGTCTGGAATCATTGCTAATATAATAACAGATGAAGTATTTTTATCACGTTCCCAAAATGCTGAATATAAATGTAAAGAATCTACAATATGAATCCATGAAACTTCCTCTTTAATTCTAATTTCTGGCCTGACAGTTGTTTTATGGTGCTTTAATTTTGAAAATTCTTCTCTATTTCCAAATGAATTTAAAACTTCCAAGACCATTTTCATTTTGGAATATTTTCTTTCATAAATAATGACTAAAATAATAGATGTAACTGCAGCAATAACTAGTGCAAGTTGAATATATTTCCTCATATTTACTTGTCTTTCACAAAACTAAATTCTTACTTTTTAATATTATGGACATAGTTTCTGAAAAAATAAATAAATAAAGACATTATTAATTTTAAAGTTATAAAATTTTTAATAAATGTTTTATTCTTAAAATTCTTATATGAAATAAAATATAAATTATTATTTTATAAAACCAAGATTTCATTAATTAATTTTAATCACCATATTTTATGGCATATAAGACAACTCCCAGAACAGAATATTTATAAAAATATTTAATGTATTTAAGTCAACCCATGCCTTTTGTACTCAACCCCAAATTTTTTTACTGTATTATGGATAAAAAAAGAAGTAAATTTAGAATGTACACTTTTATTGATTAGGGAAAAGAGGAGTTTAAATTAAGTCATTTACAATTAAAATATTCTACATTAACACATGCAAAAGCTGCTTAGCTGTAACAAAAAAATAAAAATGAAAAGCAACCTACCAGTATTTTTCTAAGTATAAAATCATAAACTAGAAAAATCAACATTGCAGAGTTCATTTATAAATTAAAGTTAAAAAATAAATTATATGAAAACTGTACAAGCAAAAGCTGCACAGTATAAGAAAAAAAATTTCACATATATGACACAATGCAATTTTTAAACCACTATTTTGGGCAAAAGTTATGCTCTATATGCCATAAAATACTGTATATAAAGAATACATAATTTAAATCTCCTTACATAATTTTACAATCAAGAAAAATTTAAATTTTATTTATGAACTGTAATAAATAACAATACATCTTAAAAACAATGTTTCAGTTATTTTGGTTAAACTTAATTTATGGATTTAAAAATCTTTATGAATATTAAATTTTATTATATATTTATAATACTAAAGATGAAACAATCTGGAGTGAATAAAAGTATATAGACTAATAGTAAAAAACAAAAAATAAAATATAAGATAAGCAACCAGAAAAATCAGAAATTATGATTGTGTTGAATGATAATATACTCCTATATAAAATTATCTCAAGATAATTTTTACTTAAAAAAAAAATTAAAAATTTATAGATTCTAAAATATTTATTTATAAATATCTATTGAGATATNTTTTATTAATACTGTAGAATAATTTAATTGATTTATAAACAAAAAAAATAATGATATATCAATTAAATTTAATATATATTAAATTTTTATATTAAAAGCATCTTTAGATATTCTAATATAATTTAAAACAAATATTTTTTCTAAACTTATATATTTAATAACAAAAATTCTTTCACTTAATTTTTAGTTATTTTTACTAGAAAATTAAACAAGTATTTATTATAATATTAAATAGTTGAAAGATGTAAGAAGCAGCCATCAGGGAACAGATTGAACTGTTGACATTTAGGATTCCAGTCCAATCCTTGATGATTGATAATCAATTTAAAGAATTTAACTTAATGACCAATAGGAGAAGATTATATGCCACAACACAGATGCTTCTGTTACTAAGAAATGATTCTAATTTTTTCTTGTCTGCTTTTAATTTATTTGGAAAGCAATCTATTTAGATTTTAGAGAAATTTTTTTGAATCAAAGGTAAATTATAACTAACAAATGACTTTTTTTATGTTTTTTTCCATTAAATTTTCAGTATTAAAATAAATTTTAGTTTACAAGCATAATTAACAATATAAAATATATTAAAAAGTGATGAAAATTTTAATCATATAAAATTTGTAAAAAAAAAATAAATTTGAAGAACATTAATTATTCCACAAATTTAAACTGCTGATTTTAAAGAATTCCAATCAAAGACAAGCAGACAAGGCACATAGTTCATGGACATATCATGTAATCAGACTTGTCCAAAGGTCTGTACAAAAACATTTTTTTTCAATGTAAGAGGTGAAGAGTTCAATTTTTGTTAAAATAGTTGACCAATGCAGATGAAAGCCAATAAAGGATAAGGTCAGAAATTTTGTAATCTGTCTGGGTGGTAAGGTCAAATACAGATTAAGAATGATGTAAGAATAATTATGATTTAGAAAAGTTATCATAACAGATTTTAAAAAACTTACTACTTTTCTTATTAAA